CATTCAATTGAGCCTGTCATCTTCTCTAATGGCCATCTACTCCTAGAGAGCTATTAGAGTACAGGACATGTTATTGGAAATCAAAGAGGATTTGGAGTCCAGAGCATCCTCCTGCAGGAGTAAGTACCTAGCAGAGGTCAGCTTGTTACAAAAACACACTCTGTCAACTCTGACCACCAGGATGGATTAGTAAATCTCTGCTTCCTTCATTTTAATGGTTACTCTGGTTATTTTAGTGAAATGATGGCATGCAACCACATTTTTAATCTATGAAAGATGCATGCTGCTCATGTCTGTGATGCTGTAAATTTACATTTTCCTCTTGTCATGTCTTTGTTAACTGTGTTAGCAGCTTAAATGCATTTATTAAGTGTTATTTGCCAGTAGCTTAGATCCTTGCAAATGAGACTGGAATAGATGTGTAAATCAGACTTTATAGATATAATTCATGGTAACTTTAACAGTGAGCTTAAAATGACATTTTTAAAATTACATGTCTTTCAGTGATACTTTCGGTATACTTTCAGTAGAGTACAGGACATGTTATTGGAAATCAAAGAGGATTTGGAGTCCAGAGCATCCTCCTGCTGGAGAAAGTACCTAGCAGAGGACTTTCAGTGATATTTTCAGTATCACTATCTTGGTGGGTTTAAATTGGGTATATCTCTTTAATAATATTAGATAAAAGAGAGAGTTCTGAGACTTCAGAACAAAAAACAGCAGTTTCTTATTTCTCAATAATAAAGAAATTTCAGCTGGGAATCTGATTGCTTGATCTGAAATTTTAAAACATCGCTGAATAACCCTTTCTCAATTAACTTGTGAGATAAGACTATGTCATAAAGGTCTGACTTTTTTCTTATTTTCAGAATTTGTGTATAACTAAAATTTATACATGAATTATGTGGTGTGCTACTCGACAAAAATCCATTCATTTTCTTCTGTTTATCCTTAACAGGGTTGCAGGGGGGCTGCAGTCTATCCCAGCTACTGTAGCTTGAGAGGCGGGGTGCACCTTGAACAGGTCACCAGTCTTACACAGGGCTAACACAGAGAGACAGACAACCATTCACACTTACAAGCATCTATGGGCAATTTAAAATCACCAGTTAACCTAACACCAATTGCATGACTGGGTTGTGGGAGAAAGCCAGAGTACCTGGAAACAACATACAAACTGTGTCAAACTCAGGACCTTCTTGCTGTGAGGCAACAATGGTAACCACCACACCACCTTGCTACCTTAAATGGTAAATGGCCTGTATTTGTATAGCGCTTTACTGGTCCCTAAGGACCCCAAAGCGCTTTACACACTCAGTCCAGGGCGGCTGTAGGTAGCCACCGCCACCCTGGGGCACACTGACAGAGGCGAGGCTGCCGGACACTGGCGCCACCGGGCCCTCTGACCACCACCAGTAGGCAATGGGTGAAGTGTCTTGCCCAAGGACACAACGACCGAGACTGTCTGTCGTTACAAGACAAACTGCCAACTCCTGAGCCATGATCGCCCCTTAGATTAAAAAAAAAATTAAAGACTTAACAAGACAGATGATGAAATGGAACAAGTAAAGTGTGATCTTTCCTAGATATCATAGCTTTTAGCTGGTACCTGTTACTGCTGTCTAGATTTATGAAAGAAACTATAGTTAAAGGCAGCTAATGTGGACTCCATTACTGCACATTTGTTTTTCAGCACTGTAATTATAAAATGCAATCTCACATAGTGTTTGGGTAAAAAAATCTCTATTCGCAGGCATCTATCCAAGCTAAGGGCCACTCTAAAAGAGAACTAAAGGTGTCTTTGAGTCAGCACCACTGTGTGGTGTCTAAGCAGAAAACAATGCCAGACCCCCAGAGCAGAGATGTGCATTAAAAGCTGTGGCTAACAAAAGCCGCACAGTGCAATTGATCTAAACTGTGTGCAAAGGCAGGACTTTGGGGAAATCAGAAACTTCATTAAAGTTTCATATTGTATTTCTGTGCACTTGCAGTTTCACCCTGTCTCTATTTACTTAAAGGCCCATACTGAGCAAAGTTAGAGTTCCCCTCTGGTTTTGCATTGCAAAAGCTTTAACAGCGCAACTGTTTTTCAGAAAAAAAACAAAGAAGCATTGTCATTGTTTCCAAATATAAACAAAATGAACACTTTTGTGTTCAAGAAATGCTTCTTTTAATATTAGTTTTGAGTTCTTGCACCATTTCTTACGTCAGGTTATGTTGATGATAGTTTGAATTATCCATATTTTCATGACGCAAACATAATGTAAGGCCATGCCAGAATATATTAACCCAGGGGAAAAAAGTATCTCTTGGGCAATATGTGTAATATAGAATCAGAATGGATGACCACACAGTGTGGACCACCACATCGACTATTTACATTTGTTTATACTCTCTTTGTATAATCTTCTCTTTGTGGCAGGCTTTCCACCTTCTCATTCAAACGGGAAATGCAGAATGCCAACAAATCACACATTGCACTGACTCTCTGGCAGACACACAAGCACACACCACACATACTACTGGGGCATTAGTCAGCTAGGGTTCCCCTTGCGCTGCAAATGATCTGTGAAAAATATACAGAAATTCTTTGCCAGTCCTGGACAGATAAATGCACACATTCACATGCACCTATTCACAAATTCAAGTATACAAAGGTGCTAGCTCCGTTTCCAAATCTCTTTCACACACACATGCGCACATGGCAGAACCAGGAGGCAGATATCATTGATAGCTTCCCAGGTTTGAAGGCCTTTTCCTGGCAGAGGCTTCTAGAAATACTGGTACAACTCACTGTCTAGTTTCTTGCTGGGCTTTTTGTCTCAAGCTGTGGCTTCATAAATCACAATATCCATTAAGAGTGGAAAACCATGGAATCAGGTGAGCACTTCACAAAGCTTAGAACTTCTTCACTAAAAAAAACCCACAACTAAAACAAACAAATGCAGTACAAAACAAGTGTACTGTATTAAAGTAAGCAGCTTAGTCAGCTCAGATTGTGTAAATGTTGGATGAAAAAAAGTGTAGATAATAAAATGTGCAATACAATCATGTCATAAAAATGTACAACAAAGCAGGACTATATTACAGCCAGTGCATACTTTGTAGAGCCACTGCAGTAAAGATATAATCCAGAAAAAAAAAAGATTTGCATGCATGAATTGTCAAGTGGTCCTCCCACAAGACTCACCTGGCAGGTAAGTGGTGATTCCAGATTGACCATAGGTTCTGGCTATGAGAGTGTATCTATTATGGCTAATACTCAACCCCTTCTCCAAACACATTAATTTGGATAAATGGTTAGGGAAATGATGGATGAATGGAGATAACTTGGAAAATAATTTTATAACATAGAAGCATAATATTTGCTTCATTCAGTGTTTCAAGACATTGTTTTGATAAGAATTTATTTAATTAGGTTGCATGTTTCCAGTGGAATACTCAAGCGACTGCATTTTTTTGTGTTTGTTTTGTTAAATTATTTTGAAGATGATTTGATAAAACAACTGTAGTCACAAGTGTTCGCATGCGGTTTAAGTGTTGTACAGATCCTGACTCGCCTTTATTTCCCAAGGTATTCAAAAAGGTTACTGCACACTGTAAAGCAAGGTCCTATGATTTAGTAAACATTCCCATGACCCTTTTATTTTAAAAAGGAGTTGTTTCTCATGCAATGTCTGCTTTATTTGTAGCCACTTCAATGCGCTTAAGTTGCCTCTGTGAGTTTATGTCTCAGTCTGCCTCTGAGCTCTAACCTTCAAACTACAAAAGTGCTCTGATGCTATGTTCAGGCTGTGCACACTTTGATATAGTTCTAGATGTGTGTGAGTGCATGCATGTGCATATGGCTGTGTGTGTGAAGCACAGCCCTCATGTGACAACGGTGCCCTTTTCAACAACAAACTCACAAATCAACCATGCTTAGCTACACATTGTTTCTCTCAAATGTCTCCAGCCAAAAATACAAATGCTTCCCTCCTTACAGCATCGCAGGAGCCCTGCTGTGCTCACATCCAGTGATGTCAAGCAACATAGTCGTTACATTCGCAGCTCACATTTTTCCATAGCTTGCAACTTAAGTGTGCTGTAGGTGAGATGAGTTGACACAATAGACAGGAGGTGAAGGGCAGGAGGTGCAAAGAGAAAGGAAAAGGTGGTGAGCAGGAAGGGGAGAAGTAAAATGGAGTGGGAAGCAAAGAGAGGAACCTTTGGTGTTGGGAGAAATTGTTTCTATAATGTTTGAAGGCTGCAACAGTCCAATTAGGCTGCAAAGAATCAGAATTACACACGCACGCACACACACACACACACACACACCCCCCACTCTGCCCTGTAAGAGATAGAAGCAGAGAGCGAGGAGGAGAGGATAGAAAGGAAAGGATGGTGATGTGGAGTGAAAGTGGCAGTGAGTTTTGTAGAGATGGCAGAAACCAGGGGAGAGCAGCCTCTGTGCTCGTGACAGCAGTTGAAATCCTATCCACTGGAGGAAAAGGGAGACGACACTTCCATGAAGGAAATGCCCAGGAAAAATGAAGCAAGTGGGGGGAAAGGGGGGATTAAAAAAATGACAGAAAAGAAATATGAAGGCGCAGTGTGCGAGAGTCACAGCAAGAGATGGAAATGGTAAACACAGAAATCTTTGGACATTTGTGCTCCTTAGAAAGTAAAATAAATAGGTGGCTGTTTGGACAGCTTTGGTCAATGTGGGTGGGCAACAAACTAGAACTGTTTGCTTTATTTACAAGTATTATTCCATATATCAGATCTCATCCCTGCTACAAATTATTGCCAGTGTTTTCCCCTGAACAAAAAAGCCTCAAAGCCATGAAAAGCCTTTTTAACTGCAAAGGCTGTGAAGAGATTGTGATTTTATAAAACTGTATTTTGTGGTTATTTATTTCCCTGTGTGATGGAGTAGGAGCTTAATTGTGCAATTTTCTCCCTGCAGCAATATCAAAGTTTTCATAGTTTTACTGTTTTCTTCACCGTCTATTTTGCAGATCTTGATATACCAGTTCTGACAGTACACCAGACCATCAGCGACGTGCGCGGCAGTTACTACCAAGAGAAGACAGTATTCCTGCGCTGCACCGTCAACTCCAACCCTCCCGCACGCTTCATCTGGAAACGTGGGGATATGCTCATCGAGCAGAGCAAAGACAATGGAGTGGACATTTATGAGCCTCTTTACACTCAGGTACACAAGAACACGTACAGCTCACAAACGCTCTGCCAGGTGTGGAGTCGCTCCCTGCTTTCTGCCCTTACCTTCCCATTTCAACCCTGTTCTTTTCTGCCATCAAGACAAAGCCTCACCCAGCTGAACGTATTTCATTCTCTCGTGATTATTAATTGAATATGTCTCACATTCAAGGTTTACTTAGACAGTGTTGTGGAATTAACGTTGATGTGAGGTTGTCATAGGAATTGAATTGTCTCTTTCCCTGAAGAGCAATTATCCAATAATTCTCCATGGCAAGACTGATAAGCTTTGGATTTTCTGAAACTATGCATGTTTTACTTGGCGTTAAAGGACTTGCAATGAATCTGTACGGCTATTTAACATGATTTGATTCCAGGTGTATTATCAGTGACCTGTGGAGCTGTATGTATCAGACAGTTAGCAAGATATATCATTTAGATGGATTTATTTTTATGATAGCAATAATTTCATTGTAACCTGCAACATTGTTTTGATTACATTATTCAGTGTGTGACACTACGCTTACTTTTCAAGTCAGTGTGACACTCTGAAGTGGAAAAAGCCCTTTAATGCTCCGTATTAGCTCTACATAGATTACAACTAAGGCTAACTACAATTTTATGTCATATTATTTTGTGCAGTTACAGGTTATATCACAAAAAGACATTTTAATACATATATTTAAATACATAATATGTTGTGGATGCTAGTCCTGGACTCTTCACCCGTTGAAGGTCTAACTTACTTTTAGGAAATATGCATTCTCCATATTCAATGTTTTATGTGAGACATTCATTCATAACTGAAACATAACTTCATAATTTGAAGCAGATTTAGTTTCAAACTTTCAAAACAATATATCTCTTATTAATCTCTTTCACTATTTCATGCAACTAATAAAAAAAACCAACTAATTGACTTGATTAAACTAGACAGTTCCAGTTGATAATACACATTATCAACTGCACCATGTGTTGCTGTTTCTCAGTGGTAGTCGGATAGACCTATTTTGCATAAACATTACTGAAGTAATCACTGTGAAAATACTATAAGCTACTAAATCCAAGTAAAACAACAAAAAATTACCATGGGCCAGGCATAATAGGTTCAATTAACTTTAATAACGTGGCCCTCTTTAATGACTAAAATTTTCATTAATCACTCTATGCAAACATATCCCAAGAACTCTAGAAATGTACTGTGTCAGGAAGCCTAGAACATGGTAGGTACACTGGAATGCCTTAGCAAACACATGAATAATTATGTATTACATTTTTACATTGTTGTTCATAGTAGCATTATGAGATTGTTTTTCTTCCTTTCTATCAACATTAAGACAAGCACGCTTTTAATTAAGTCAAAATGAACTGGCCATCAAGTTGAACAGTCAGTTACTTGTTCATTTACCCAGCAATATCCAGCTGAAAAAACTGCCAAATAAACAGTCCCCAAGCTTCATCCCCAGGCTGAGCACACAATTGTTCAGTTAGTACAACTGTTCCCATTTTCTTCACTTATCAAAGCACCAGTCAGCAACAAAGCAGAGCCCCTGGAGTTCAATTAACCAGCCAGCAAAGCTCTTCTCAGGGCTGCCTACTGTATCAGACTCAAAGCCTTGATCTGAAAATCATCAGTGATGTTAAGAGATGTGTGACTGCTTTTGTGTGTCCAAGTCAGTGTGTGTATGTCTACATGAGAAGAAGCGAGCAAACTGGTGAGATTGCAAGTAGCATGCTTTCAGAAATAGAGAGAAGATGAACAGATTTAGTTTTTATTTTTGAACCAGATCAGTTTCATTTTCCCGATGGTTGCATGTGAAAGCTATTTGGAATGTGACAATGAATGAATATTTGAAATGCTTCACTTGATAACCACAGCGTGCAATATACACAGGCAGGATGCATGTGTGCATGTATCTATGTTAATATTTGAGCTTCTCTCAGTTTGTATTTAACCCGGTTCAGCATACTAAAGACTTTTGCACAAGATTACAGCCCAGTTTAAAAGAGACTGAAATAAAAGCTCTGGGTTTTCAGGTTTATGGATTACGATGAAAATATGATTTTTGTTTATAATGTTTATATTAATGTTTATGTGATTAATTCTCAGATGATTCTTTTTACAGCACAATAATCCAACATGATGTTGTATGATGTCCTGTTTCTCCTATTCAGGGTGAGACCAAGGTGCTGAAGCTGAAGAATCTCAGACCCAAGGACTTTGCTGATTATACCTGTCAGGTGTCAGTCCGCAATGTGTGTAACATCAAAGACAAGTCCGTCACCTTCAGGCTGACAAATGCTACAAGTAAGTGTTTTTTAATTTGTGTTTCATTATCATTACAGTTCACAGAATTTGCGGGTGATACATTCCTAGAACCACCTGGGAATTGTGAAAAACCACAAATTTGGGACGGGGTAAAATAAAATAACCAACGACCTTTACTCTTCCAAACATACCTCTTGTCCTGTCAAATAGCTGAATCTTTGTCGTGTCTGGCTATAAAAACGTTTTCAACCAATTATTTGGCTAGCCAATTGTCCAGACACATCCAAATAACTTATGCTTATGCACATTTGTTTGAGAATCTGATCTGGGAATCTGCCAACTTTCTTAGAAATGGCTCACAGATATCTCCCCAACTTGTGCAAATCCACTATTATCCTTCCTAAATCTTCACTGAGTTCCTTGGACTTTCCTGTATTTATTTCCTGTATTTTGTATTTCCTATGTAGTGGCGAATCCAATAAGTACATTTTTTGTGTTGGGAATTTAGTTGGGAAAAAAAGCCTGACTGTTTTGATCAATCATGATCATGAGAAATGAAAAAGCCATGGACTAGTCAAGTCAAAAGAAAGTCTAGAACCGTTAGCACCACTTATTAAGAGATTTAAGTGAGTGCATTTATACATTTGAGCCTATCTGTTTATTTGTGTGGCCTTGTGTGGTTTAGCGGAAATCTCAATTCATTTCAGACTTGTGCACATAATTCTTGTTCTTCACATTCAGTAAAGATGTATGTGGTACAGTCATTCCACCTTGGAAAAAGGACTGTTTAAAGAAATCTTTATCAAAAAACCCAGAATTACCAAGATAATTATGTCTATGATGAATGTATATACATTTCTGACCAAAAAGGTTTACAACTTTACAAAGCCAAGATGTTTTTTTTCTGTCGATGTACAGACATCCTCTAATAATTCCATCTTATCTGACTACTCTGATCATGTTTGCTCTGTGATTGTGCAAGAATCTCTAGTTCTGTGTCTTTCTCTCATTGTTAAAGTGTCTCCTATCTTTACTTGTTCAGGAAATAGGATTCCTTTCTTCTTCCTCGTTTTCTCACTTCCTGTATGATCTCTCCCTCTGTCTTCTTTTCTCATAGTGAGTTTTTTTCCCCCTCTTGCTTTTGACTTTCCACTGAAATGCGGTCTCGTTCTATCTTCCTGCCTGCCTCCCAGTGTAGGATATTGTCTATCTGTCTTGTTGTACGGTTGCTGAGAGCTCATCTCAGGGCCGTCAGCTGTAATTCAGTTGTCACACTCCCTGTTATCTCCAATTCACTTTGCACCGCTCTGTCCATCTCCACGCCATCGCTCGGCAACTCTGTTACTTACAACAACATTGTTGCCATTGACAACCCTGTCAGGTTTGTTACTGTCAGTATGGTATTCCACAAGGGAGAGGGCCATGCCTGTCTGAGCTGTATTTTTTAAATGATTTTTTTCCCCCTATTGTGTTTATTTTCTCCTCTTCCTACTGTTCTAACTTAATTTTCTAAATGTCGGCTAGCCTAGATTGCTTGACAATTAACTGTTTGGATTTTTTTTTTTGAAGCCCATTATTCAGTTATATTTATTTCCTTTCAGTAATTAGATTTAATTTATTTGACAAGAAGGTCCTTGTGAGATTTAATAAAACATGAGTGTTTTAAAACCCTACAAGGTTCTGTCTTTCTCTCACTGAGCCTTTACTCTCATAAGTTTACGCTAATTTTATTTAATTAATTTTAATTAGTGAATTGCAATTTTAGTTGAAAGCAGGCTGTTGAATAAACATGGAGCCTTAAAAGCTAAACATGAGTTTAAAACCCCAAAAGATCAATATTCCCTCGACATACTGTTTAGTACTGCAGTATGTCAAGTATGTCATACTGCTAGTAAACACATCAGAGGGTCATATATGCAACCAAAGACTGGAATGCAGTGTTACACATACAGTGATTGTAAAAATTGTTTTGTTTGTAGTGCACATTTTTACAAGTATAAGTGTAATGTATGAAGATATATAGCAATTAAACACTACAGTATTGCAGCACAACATTAGGACACAGTAAATTTTTAACTTGAGTCCTGGTGAAAAGTTGTCCTTCACTTTGAAATCCATCCATCCATCCATCCACCTCTACTTACTTCCATCTTCTGCTTCTACCTACTCATAGGGCAATAGGTGAGATACGCCCTGTACTGGTGACCAGTCTGTCACAGGGCTAACACAGAGGTATACAACCATTCACACTCACGTTCTCACTTATGGCCACTGCATGTCTTTAGACTATGGAAGGAAAACGGAGTACTTAGAAGGAAGCCGTGCAGACAAATGAAAATATGTAAAATATGCAAAAGGACATAATTACCTTTCCCAGTGTAGATCACATTAACTTCATTTTCCATTTTGCTATGTTCGCACCGCTGTTATTTGCCCCCCAGAAATAGGCATCTTGCAAGTTTACAGCCTTTATTATTAAAAATGATACATTTCTATAATAGATCAGCTATTTCACACTTTCCTGTGAGACTGTGCTACTTTTCACTGGCAATAACAGTATACAGTATATATCAGCAACACTATAGAGTATATTTTTTTATGATGAGCACAAGGTTTTGTGACACTTTTAAAATATATTTACAGGTTTTGAACTGAAGATGTTATCCAGTGAAAAATAAGGCCTCTTTTGAGATAAAAGTTTCCCAGGAGTCTTCTAAAGTGTGCTAAAGGTGGGAAAGATACAAGAAGTCAAAGAGAAGAAACTGTGACAAAGTTAGGAAGAAAATGAACAGAATTTGGCACTTCTGTTCTTAAAAAAAGGGAAAGAAAAAGAGATACGAGGACGAAACAACCAAAAAACTAACTGAATTAAAAATAAAACAGATGGACACAGCTTACTGAAATATTTCAGAAAAACTAATAGTTAATAATCAATGCTAATAATTCAGTATTAGGTAAATCAGCTGTAGCTCAGAGACACCCAATTAATTAGAGCAGACAACACTTATAACACAATGTTTTCTTTTAAGAATATAGAAAACACATTTTTAATAGACAATGACCAAAAGGACATGGCAACCAAACATGAACAATTTACCAGCGTAAAAATCAACAAGTAGGGAAGGAAAACAAACAGGTCTTCATGCTCCCGCTGTGTGAGATAGGGGTTCTTCACGACCATTGCCCCAGCCTTCTTCTGCTCTCCTCTTGGGCTCCTGTGGCTAAGATCAATTGTATTCCCACAGCGCACTCAACACACACACAAAGACACACACAGCAAACACAGCAATAAACGCCTGCCTGGCCCTGGCATCAGGGCTCAGAAGCTTGCCAAAGCAGCCAATCTGTCTGGACCTCACAGCCTCACAGACTGATCGAAAGCACACACCGCTTAGTGTGTGTATGTGTTTCTTTGTGTGCACATGTCTGTGGCTACAAAAGAAAGAGGAAAGAAATGTGGTTAAGGGGAGAGGGATGAAGTGTGATTATGTCTGAGTGTGCACTTTTCTTCACTTCCTAACCTGCCCTAACAGAGCACAGATATCTAATGAGACAAACTGTTTAAATAAAGAATAGAGAGAATTGCATTTCCTAAAACAACTCCAGATTAACTGCATTAACAAGTTTATATACCTTAGACTTCTGCACCATTTTGAAATACTCACATAAACACACTTAAGATTAGGGATGGGTATCGTTTAGGTTTTATCCGATACCAGTACCAAACCGGTGCTGGTGCTTAAACGGTGCTCGAACTGGTGCTTAAAGAATGGAGAACACAAAATTGGTCCAAAAACCTCTCATGTTCTGCTGTTTTTTTGTACAAAGATAACAGTGTTAGCCTTTTCTGCAGCTATGGGGCATATATGGTATCACTCTTGGCTGGAAGCAGTGCTTAATCACTGGGGAAAAAAAACACAAACTTTGTCCAAAAACCTCTCACGTTTAACTGTTTCCCTCTTTTTCTTTGGTCATTTTAGCCTTTTTGGCCAGGGAGAAGGGAGTACCTGCCATCAAACAAGAAGACAGCCGCATGTA